AACTGTTTTCAGTCAACCATTGATCTTATTTTTATAAAATTAAAAAAAGTTGAACTATCCTCTGGTGAAAACTAGGATAGAAAGTATAATTTTTCTTATTGAAGAATAAAATGTATTACACTGCCTACTTATGAAGCATTGGGACATGATAATGTCACCCTTTTGAAAACATTTGTCGTAGCCAGAAAGCAAAATTCAAACTTTAGGAACTAATGATTATCAAGAGTTGTTTATGGGGTGAAAACTGACTTCAGAAATACTTGTTTTTGTATAATTAAAAAATTCTTTAAAACTAATAATCATTCAGGACAAAAAATATGAATTTACTTTAAAATAAACTTTTCCCCCAAAGACCCTTACAAACCAATTTTGTTAGAAACTGCTTCACGTTGCACTTCTCAACATAGATTGGAAGGCCAAAAGCATTAATAATGCAAATCTGTATTTTAATACAAATAATCCCTACAAAGTCTGCTTGATAATTAATGGAATTAATATTCTGCCTTCTCAGTGTAGCTACTATGGTGTGGAGTAACAGTTAACTACGAAAGACTGAGGTAAAATTTTAAAACAAAGCAACGAATAATACATATTAATTGTACCATCAAAAGAAAAACAGTGTGATGGCAACGCCTTCTCCTGTCTCCTGTTTTACACATCAATAAGAAACTCTTGGGTGAATGTATTTTATTGTCATTTTCAAATGGAGAGAATGGCTTGGCATGTTTCACAAGAGTTACCATTTTTCTGGAACTAGAAATTCAATTGTTACCAAGTTGCCCAAGTAATTCTCTCCTCATGGAACTCTTTCAGGCTAGCCCCTGCACAATGACCCCAAAATTGCTTTAAAGTATAGAGCATTCTGCCTTTCTTAGAGTTTCAATAGTTGTATGTCGTTACAGACAGTGGTTTTACAGCCCAGTGGTTTTCATAATGTTTTGATGCAGTGATTCCACGATTGCAAAATAGAATAAAAGAGAGCTACGAGTCTGGCTAAAAGGGAAGGGTGCAAGGAAGGCACAGAAGCATGTTCTCACTTTTTTTTTTTTTTTTTTTTTTTTTTTTTTTTTGGCAGAACCAGGGATTGAACTCAGCCCGTTGCTCTTGCCAGGAAAGTGCTTATTCCACTGAGCCATCTCCTTGGCACCCTTTGTGTGTATGTGTGTGTGTGTGTTTTGTTTGTTTGTTTGTTTTCCTCACATGTAATGTCAGAAGGATCCTGACATCTTGCCTCAATGTCTTACAGTTCCTTGGAGATCATTTTTTTTTTAAATCGTCTATTTTATAAGGAATTGTTGGATGCATGGGAAAATGATACATTTGTGTTAACCTTGCATTGCTATACCAAAATACCTGAGATAATTAATTTACAAGATTTATTTAGCTCATGGTCAAGTAGGTACATAGCTTTGGGGCTCTGCCAAGGAAGGGGTGCCTGCTGGTACTGAATGGGAGCTTGAGGTGAAGCAAAACCACTTACGTCATGGGCCAGGAAGCAAGAGAAACAAGATGAGAAGACTGGATGCCCACAGCTGCTTCCTGCCCATGTCCCTCAGGGATGCAAATTGCAAGTTAAACATTCCAACACATCCCTGACCGAGCCCTAACACATGGACCTCTGGGGTCAGGCAACATCTGAACTTTAGTACCATCCTATTAATCTTTTGGCAAACTTTACCCGTAATTTAAATTAAATGAATGTATGACTTGTTGTGTGTGTATGTGTGTGTGTGTTGTGTGTGTGTGTATGTTAACTATCCCTTATTTGAAATGCTTATGACAAAAAATGGGACAGATTTTAGAGTGGTTTTGGATTTTTGAATACTTACATACACTGGTTGAGCATATTTATTTTGAAAATTTGAAATATAATACACTCAAATATTTTTAAAAAGCAATCATGTGGGAATTCAATGTTGCATATCCCAGAGAACTCTTGATTTCAGACCCATGTGGCTAATAGCATAAGGAGTACAGTGATCATTGATTTGCCCATTTATCATTCACTCTGGCTCTGTAACATGCCTTTTGGTTGTTGTTTTGTATTGTTTTGTTTTGTTTTTTGAGACAGGGTCATACTATTTAATTCAGGCTGGCTTTGAGCTCCTGGTGCTACTTCTGCCCTAGCCTCTTGAGTGCTGGGATTATGGGCGTGCACCACCACGCATGGCCTTGAAACCTGCCATTTTAAGGCATTGGCTTCCCAACTCCAATAGTTACTGTGCTTGTGCACCATTCATATTGCTTTTATTAGTAATTCTTATTTACAGTAGCACTCTAATTGGTATGAGCATTTATGTCATGCTTGCTTATTATGATACACATTCCCAGCAACAGCATGTGAGCTCCTTCACTGTCTGTAATATACAATTTTACCTGCAGTAAAATAAAAACATTGTTTGACTATACACAAAATTGACACATCTGAATTTCAACTACCAGAAATAAGATATCATCTTTTATATAAAATCACACACAAAAACCTACCTGCTTTGGGTATTTTTTACTTACAATGAGCAGCATCCATAATTAAAAATAATAATCTGGAACTTGGCAAATTCTCAGTCAAAATAGTAGAGCTGGTAACCAGAGATATAATTATGTCTGGATGCATTATTTAAGTCTCTTTCTCATAGGAAAAGTGCTCCTCTAAGGGAGCTTGCTCTCCAGGACTTACTAAAATTTGAATGATCAGCTTAGCAATTACAATCACATTTTCTACCTTATACACCAATTTAAGTTCCTTCATGTTTGTATTGCATAAATCTCAGAGGCATCGTTTTTGTTGCTCAAGTTTTGAAAAGCCAATGCTTAGCAAATAAATTTATACCAAAGTTCAAGTTTTATGTCATGTGATATTTTCCTCCTAATTTCAGCTTTTATTTTTATTCCAATTAACTTTGGAAATGCTGCTGCTATCTCTGGTTTTTTTCACTCAGATTGAGAAGTCAGCAAGCTCCATTCCAAATTTTGACTAGCATTCTTTGCCCTCATGATCTTACTAGAGATGAAAAGATAAAAAGCTATACAGCCTATGTTTAATATCTGTGCTTGAGCTAATTTTTATCAGTGAATGCATCACTTAGAGTTAAGTACATCTGGGGAACAATAATAAAATCATCCGTGGCCTGGCAGATGACTTAGTAGAATAAGCGCTTGCCTGGCAAGCGCAAGGGCCTGAGTTCAATCCTCAGTTCCGCCAAAAAAAAAAAAAAAAAACCTAAAAACAACAACAACAAAAAAAACCATAGCTCTCTGATATTGATAATCATGGTGATGTTTTCATGATGTGTGAAAGATTAGAATATTTCTTAATACAACAACACTCCTGGGTCTATATAGCAAATTTATTCCATTTTTTCTTCTTTTCTAGCACTTAAGGTCACAAAAAGTTGAAATTTCATTGTGTCATGAAACACACTGAATTCTAAATTTAAGACCTAAAATGTACTTTTGAAATTAGGACAGAAACACTCTTAAGAATTCACTAGACATGGTTATAATTGTTGTTTGTTTAAAAGAAAAAGACAAAATATTTTGCAGGCAAGGGAAGTAATATATATTATTTTAGGTTTTAGAAGCTCTCAGTCAAAAGAAATTATTTCATCTGTTTTACCACTGAATATATACACAACATGCCACAAATTTAAGTTTTTATTTTCTCACAATTTAACATGGTTCAATGGCTTGAAATTAATTTGGTGGGTATCAGTACACTTTACGGAAGGAAGCAAAAATGCTGAAGAGATTGATATGTATTAAGATCTCTGTAAAGAGCTGCATATAAGCAGCCTAGTTTAGAGTTAATACTTAATAAATTTTACTTCTTTTGACCATAAAATAAAAAGGGGAGGAAGAAAGGAAGAGGGAGAGAGGAAGGAAGGAAAGAGATGACGGAAGGAGGAAGCAAGGGAAAGAGAGGGATCAGAAGCACTGATAAATAGATTTTTTTAGTGATTGAATTTTTGTCAAATATTTTTTGCTTTTTTTTTTTTTTGGTAATTTCCCTTTCTACAGGCCTAGCTGTTAGTTTAAAATATTTTTTCAACATAAAACTCACTGTCTAAGAAATTTCCACGTGTACAGCACAATACTGTTGTCCACAACTTGCCCACTGCCATGCAACAGGACCTCAGGGCCACTGACCACACCCCACAGACTGGTGCTCTGCCTTCCCTGCCCCAGGGTCTATAAAATGCTTTTCTAGTTTAGATCTTTTTAAGTTTAACATTTTAGAGGCCTTCAAAACTAAAATAAAAAAGGTTTGATTTTTTTGATAGCTGTACTTCACTTAGCACAATGTTTCTAAGATTCATCTGTGTTGTAGTGTACCACAAGGTTTTCTTTTTTTAAAGTCTGAATAATATACCCATGTTTCAGGGGCCAGGGGTTTGATTCCTCCAGCCTGCCATGCCCACCCCACCCCTGGGGCACACTGAGATAGCAATTGAGCCTAGGCATGGTGGCATGCGCCTGTAATCCCAGCTCTTGGGAGGCTGTAGACAGGTGGACCATTATGAGTTTGATCTACTAGTGAGACCCTGAACACCCTGTACACCCTTCCCTAAAATACAAAAATACTTAATATTGCCATGTATGTGTATATGTACCTTCTGGATCTGTTCTCATGCCAATGGCCATTTGAGTTACTTCTACCTCTTGGTTCTGGTAAATAATCTTCAATTTAAATTAACTTGGAGGTTGTCCATTACTCCATCTCCAATATCCCAAAATTGTTACTTTATTCTGTTTTTTAAAATATTTAGTGAAGTTGTGAAGAATGTTCACATGAGATTCCTTAATCAGATAGAGAGAGAGAGAGAGAGAGAGAGAGAGAGAGAGAGAGAGATGGAGATACACATAAATGATACAGATACAGATGATAGAGATAAGAGATGTCTTATTTTAATCCTGTATGCTATGGAATTAAGAGAGTACTGCTTCATATGAAATAGCAGAGATTTGAGAAACAATAGAGTGCTATTTGTCTGTCATTGCAGGACGAGTCCGCTCCAGCTGACAAGCAGTGTAAACCAGACGCAGCCCAGGCTACCTACTCAGCATCGACTGTTCCAGGCTCGCAGGAGGTGCTCTACATCAATGGAAATGGGACCTACAGTTACCATAGTTACCGAGGTCTAGGAGGGGGACTGCTCAATCTGAATGATGCTTCCAGTAGTGGTGAGTCTTTATTATAGTCTGTGTTTACTGTGTCCATCTCAGGGAGGTAAATTTTCTAAAGCTAAGAGAAGAAAACACACACATTGTTAGAATAGTGTTGGCCTGGTACAAAAAAGACCACTTAAAAGGGCAATGATTACATCCCTGTATGCATATCTCCCTTGTTTGTGGCTGTTTCTAAAGGTAACGCTGTTATGCAATTGAATGATTGCTGTTGTCTGCTATTTTTTTATGCTAAAATAATAGTACATGGTTTTCCAAATAGCGACACATTCTTCCCTCTACACACTATATCGTTCTGTTCTTTAACAGTAATACAATATTTTCTTAGTGTTTAAAAGAGTATTTGATTTGGAAAATTTGGGGCCCTAAAGAAACTTTTTTGGGAATGAAGTGTACAGGTTATGACTGAGAACACAGAGATGAAGACGACAATGGCTTTTAGTTGTGGCTTTTCAGTGACAGTAGAAAAGCTCTGTCGGTAGTGGGTGGAACACGGGAGCCAGCACACACTGCTCAAGCTTTGCAAACTTGTAGGAATTTCTTGTATAATAAGATGAGTTCCAAATGAGTCAGAGATTTACGTGTTTTATATAAGGCCATACTAAGTTCTGGGGAAAAATTTTCAGGTGAATTTCTAATATGTAGGTTGTGAGAATAACTTTCCTAACTATACGTAAAATCCAGAGAAGGATAACTTTTGGCTCTCTCTCTCTCTCTCTCTCTCTCTCTCTCTCTCTCTCTCTCTCTCTTTCTGTCTCTCTCTCTGTTTCTGTTTCTCTCTCTGTGTCTCTACCTTTTACTCTCCCTCTCTCTTTCTCTCTCTCCTCCTCTCATCTCTCTTTCTCTTACACATACACACATACACACTTGCACACACACACACACTTGCACACAAACATTTGCGTGACAGTAAAACACCACAAGCAATGTTAAAAGATTAAGGACAAAGGGAGCTATTGTTAGCTGTTAATACTATAAAAAGCTAATAAAGCCAATACATGACATTTTTCAGGCTGGGGAGACAGCAGTCTAAGCACCTGTCTGGCAAGCGCAAGGACCCATGATTGAGCCCAAGTGCCACACGACATGCTGGCCACTGAAACCAGGCCTGGTGGTGGATGCCTGCAATCTCAGCACTGAGACGGCTGAGATAGGAGGATCACTATGAGTCCGACCTGTGTAATGAGACCCTGTATCAAATAAATAAATAAATTTAAAGTAAAACTCAAGGCCACCTCACTCGTTCCAAATGAGAGAAGCATATCTGTGCCCTTTGGATTACAAAAACTAAACAATGCAGAAAACTAGAACATTTTTTCACAAATTTGTCAGAAAAAGAAGGTGTTCTTGTGCAATGCTCACAGAAATACAAAAAAAGTTCAAGTAAAATTGAATAATAGCTAACAAAATTAAATATGTATCTATCATTTGAACCTGAAATCTTACTTATACTGCAAAACAATAGCATTAATTGAAGTCTGTTGATAGACATTTTGTTCATCTTTGGAATGAATGTGAACAAGAGAGTAACAGGAAGCTGTGAAAGTAATGAAAAATGTCTTTATACACTATCATGCGTCAGTTTCCACATAGTGATAAGCGTTTACAGAATGCTAACATCTGTGATGAAGGATGTTTGTAAAAATTGTTTTTTATGTATTTGGTACAGGGTCTACAGGGTCTTACTACACAGATCAGACTCGTAGTGATTCTCCTGTTTTCAGCCTCCCAAACGCTGGGATTACAGGCATGCGCTACCACACCCAGTCTCAATCGCCGTCTCAGCGCACCCTGGGGGTGGGACCAGCACGACACGCTGGGGATCGAACCCCAGCCTCTGTGCTCTACCTAAGCAGGTGCTTTAATCCACTGAGCTATCTGGCCAGGCCTTAAATTTTTTGTGGGGTGTGGGTGTGGGCTTATGGGGAGTGGACTCAGGACCTTTTACTGCCCGGCCGGCACTCATGTCACTCAGCTATCTCCCCAGTCTGGATTTTATATAATGGAAACATAAATTGTAATTTAAAAATTAGAGGTAACCCTGACAGGATTAAAGTATAAGGGACATGGATAAAAGAATTTTTGTATACACTTGATTTTTATACATTGTTTTAATAATTTACCTTTAAAAAGTATATGTTCATGTAATTAGCAAATAGTTTTAGAATTTTTCTTCAATAGGAAGAAAGCAACACATATGCACTTTAGGTATTTAATGAGTTATTGGCAGAGAAAGAATTTTTTCCAACATCAAATGTTTCTTATTTATTTATTTATTTATTTATTTATTTATTTATTTTTGGTGGAACCGGGGATTGAACTCAGGCCCTTGCATTTGCCAGGGAAGTGCTTATTCCACTGAGCCATCTCCCTGGCCCCCTGATGTTTAATTTTTAAATGAGTCACACTGAGTCCACAAATTTTCAAGATGTTGATAAAACCCTCAACTACTTTCAGTAATATTACTATTTTGAAACTATTTTTACTTTAACACAAATTTACATTACATCAATATCAGTAAATCTGTGGATTTTAAGAAGGAAACAAAATAGATATAAATGTGAAATCAATAGGATTATGCCAAAACTCCATAATCTTGGACTTGAATTTGCAGCATATTTATGAAGTATTTTTTGTTTGGAAAAAATATTTCCTGTATCCACCAAAAATGTCTAGAAGCAACAACCAACTTCCATTTCAAATTGTCTTTTGATGTATTTAGGACAGGTGTACGTGGTGTACAGGGTCTCACTACGGAGATCAGACTCATAGTGATTCTCCTGATTTCAGCCTCCCAAGTGCTGGGATTACAGGTGCTGCTTGCCACCATGCACAGTGTCAGTTGCCATCTCAGTGTACCTCAGGGTTGGGGCCAGACTGACACAATGGGGATCAAAACCTGGCTGCTGCACTCTGCCTAAGTAGGCAATGAGACAGTTTCAAAACAGGTTAATAGGACAATTTCAATAGTTAATACATTGCATATTGTTGTCTTCATAGTAGTTATTCATAGTACAAGATGCAGACATGATATCCTGTCCAAACCATATTAGTACAAATCTTTCTTCTCATTGAATTAAGAGAATGTAGCTATATATCTACCCTAACTATTTTGTATATGTGGATACAAAATGGTCCTTCATTTATATCCCCTTTTTTGTTTAGTTTTGTCAGACATGGGTATTCCATTGCCATTTAAATATTGTAGGTGTGTAAATTCAGCAAAATAATCCAATATAGTCCAGTAGTCCATAATAGTAGTGGGTTATTTGTAGGACTGGCAATGTCAGAAGTTGTTGACTTGATCCTTTTATAAGTCTTCATTTTATTTGGGGACCAAATTAGCACGAGAGATCAAGTGTGAAATCAGAGAAAAAAGAGGCGAACGAAAGCTGTGGATTTATGAGCCTATCAATCTAGAAACTGCTTTTAAATATTTTACATAAAGTCTAAGAACTTAACTACTAAATCACAAAATTGGGGGCTTTTGCTTCCTAAGGATTTTAACATAATTTTATCTTCTAAGCTTCTAAGTTTAAAGAATTCTCTTATGAAATCAGTAATTTGTGTAACATGCCTGTAGCAGTAGCTAGCACTTATTGATTCTCTATAGTACTTCTCAGTCCAATGAGACATGCTCTGCAATTTGATGAAAATCTTTATGACATGGAATTTACCCCAACTTTTAAAAAATGCCTGCACAACAATCCTTTTCTTTGTTTTACATTGCAATTCTATTCTGTGAAGCTTAAGAGGGTTAAGTGACTTGCCTGATGTCCCTCCAGGAGTAAAGGAGAGGCCAGCATTTGAACGCAGGTATTTGGATACATTGCAAACCACCAATGTAACAATCTGAGCAGTTATGAAGCCAAGAACTGATCTACTTTTTATCTACATGGCCTCTCCTATCCTGCATAACTTATATAAACTAGTGAGCCATACAAGATGCGGCATTTTGTTGATGGCTTCTTTCATGTAGCATAATATTTTCAAGGATTATCTCAGTAGAGTGTGTCAGCACATCATTGTGTTTACTATCAAGTAATATCGTATTCTGTGGGTGTGGCACATTTTATTTATTGATGATGGACACTTGGGTTGTTAATTCCTTTGAGTTATTTTGAATAATACTGGCATAAACATTTACATGCCAGTTTGTGTGTCCATATCGTCTTTTGTGTTGAGTAAACATCTGGAGATAGAATTGCAGGTTCTTACATATAGCATGTTTATGTTTAATATTTTGAAGAAATGTCAGACTGAACATGAGGTATCTTTTTATATATGTGAATCTTTCAAAATATCGCTCAACTATTGTTTATGTTATTTACAGTACAAGATCTGTATTACTTTTGCTAATTTTAGTACTGTTTTTTGTATTTTTCATGCTATCACAAATGGAATGTTTTCTTGAGTTAACTTTCAGGTTCTTTAGTTTATATTTGTAGAAGTACAATGGATGCATGGCAATTTTGTGTTCTACAACTTTGCTGAGCTCATTTATTAGCTCTATTAGTTGTTGAGTGGGTTTCTTAGGATGTTTTGTGTATAGTAATGTATCATTTGTGGATAGAAATAACTTCATTTCATATTTCATAATATGCATACCATTTATTTCTTGCTTTTCTTGACCAGTCACCGTGGCTAGATCCTCTAGCAAACTGTTGAGTATGTTTATTAGTGGCCGATGTCCTCTTCTTGTTCCTGTTCTTAAGGAAAATACATTCAGTCTTTCATCATTAGAAATGCTTTGCTTTTGATTCTTTATATACATTTAACTTGATAGACTCACTTTCTTTGCTAGTTTTAGGTCCACTTGCATTGTTTACTTTTTCTTGATACAGGGTACGTAGCGTGGTGGTCAGTCCTGACTGTCAACCGGATTGACTTAACAGCCATATAGAATAGGAAAGCACATGCTTGCATGTGTCTGGTTTCCTGGTGACTAGGACCTTGGAGACCTTATCAGGTCTTTGTTCCATAAGTGGATAAATACT